CGTTTCGGAGATACCTTCAATACAAAAAGCCATCCATTTATCTTAACATTCGCATTTATAATATTTTTAAGAGTTTATACTGATTATAGAAATCTAAATTCTATTCGAAACTTTACAGTAAAATAAAGTAAAAATACTAAAGTATCTGGCTAGTTTTTAGACTTGAGAACATTAAACATGCACCGATTTCGACATGCATTTTCTATGTGACGTTTTAAGTGGGGCCGAGCAATTACTGGTCAGACAGAAAAAGCGTTCTCTTTCCTAGACAACACGACAACGGATAAAATAACAAGCAAATGTTTTTATTTGTTTACAATTATCTCTTGTGTTGTTTTTCTTACGTCACAGTCCGTTGAGAAAGGTTGTTTTTTTATTTATAACGCCACTAACTCAAAAAATATTTAATTGGTTTGTTAACAACAAAATTAGAAAGTTTCCTTCATGATAATAAAATTTACTATTTTATGTTAGACATACGAAAAGGGCAAAAAAGATTTTGCTACTAGAAATTGATACCTGCAAAAATCGGTACAACGCTATGCTGGTAGCGTTAAGCAATCACTACCTGAGAAAACGACTATTCCGAGAACAATTTCCTGGTCCATTTCAATGCGTGATTTGGGGGATGCTCGAACAGAACGCAGTCGTTTACGTTAATAGCTGGGATCATGTCATTGCAAAGCCTTACGTAAGTTTATTCAGCGTAGCATCGGGCGTAATGGATGTCAATAAACTACCTACAAAGCTTTCTGAATGGACTATAACAGCATGCAATCTTAATACAGCCGTAACAAAACTACATGCATGCATGCATATAGTTTGCATGCTATAATATGCATGCACGCAGTCTTTATACATATATCAACTAATTTATGTGCTACTTACGATGATAGATAGTCAATTTATTATTTTTATAAATTTATCCTACTATCAGATAGCCGGAAATATCAAGTTCCGCAAAGTTTGCTTGTCACTTAACAATCGGAAACAAATCTTTGTCAGTCGGATAATAATAACTAAATATATTTGTAATAAGTAATACATTATCTACTATATGAATGAGAAAATTTAGGTTACCAGCAACTTAGTAACAATACCGTACGATAGTTTCCCAGTTTGATAAATAGAGGAAGTTAGGGCGTCGAAGTGTCTGGGCACAGCGCTTGATGGCCTTGTAATATATTTAAGCCAAGAATCTTCCTTCTACTATAGTCCTTTAGAGTAGCAACACTAACTTTAGACTTATATACGTTTCTTTAGTTATATAACCATTAAACATAAGTTGTTCATTAACCTAAAAGTTAAAAGAAAAATATTTCGTTTTAAAAATCGAATACAATTCCGAGCGCTGCGATCGAACGATTGGCTGCAAAGTATTGTGATAGTACTGATTAACTTTTACAGACTCGACGTAGACACACTCACAAAGTTATCTCTCTAAAAAGAATCTTACTTTTTATTAAATAATGGTTCTTTTTGTTGGAGCTCGACTTTTACTGACCTTATTATAGGTAATAAATGTAAGACGTGCATTTGTACAATGCAGGAGTATATATTTAAAATCAGTGTCAGGCAGTTCATAAAATCACTTCCCACACAAAACTGTTAGGTAGAATAAAAAAAAACACTCCGACAACACTTCTCTTTTGCTTCGATGTTAAGATAACAAAAAACAACATACAAGATTTTTTTCCCATTTCTTTTATCATTTAAATACATAAAAGTGAATCATTCTATTTAAAAGAAACGATTTACTAAGTTTTAAAAGAAACAAGTTGTGAGGACGAACAAAGTTTACACAAGTGAAGTTACAGGCCATTCTTCCTGCGCACCTCGGCTCGGGAAGTTTCAACGCGGAACACTCTGTCTTAATCAGCTCTTGAAAGTTGTCGGAAATTCTTTCAACCTCGCAAACTAAAACGGTACAAGTTGAAACATTTTTTAAGTTTTAACATTTTATTTTACGTTCTGTTCCTTTTGTGATGAACATCGACACAGTTATATAATTAATTTCTTCTTTGCAATTCCCGTGGCTTTATCTGCTTTAATTACTACGAATTGCTACTCGAAATTATTAGCTTTTTAGCTAAAAAAATTTTTAGCTGTCTAAAAACAGTAATTTTTTCAAAATATTTTATACTGATGAATTATTGATACATTATTTAAATACGCCGATATCATTCGTTTTATTACGGTGATCTAAATCAAAGCCCGGTCTGGATTTGTTACTCATAAATAGTACATACAACTGCAGCGCATACGTCCCGCTCCCTACACGAGATATTTGGACATATTGACAAAATATTGAAGCATTACGCGAAATCCAATTTCCACTTCGCAAATATTTCCATGTAAAGAACATGGTTAGTTCAGACTAAATATTTTTGAAGTTTTCATTTATCATATGCGATTTACGTAGCTAAGTTACGTAGCAAGCGTAGCACCGTAGCCCCTCTCCGCTAAATTACTAAAGATCAAAACAATTTGAAACTTCGTAATTAAAGCATGAGATATTTATGACTTTGACCGTAACAGCAATGCAGGCGAGTTAAAAGCAATGTTAAAAGCTTCGTTTCGTGTAAATTTTAAATAATTTTTTATTTTGAAGGGAACAAGTGCTGCTTACAATGAGAGGCTCGCGCCGCTAAGCCTCGCAGTAAGGAGCCTCGCCCACTCTTGTCCCCGTTTTCTATAGATATGAGTGTATTAATTATACATAAAGCTAATTTCAACATCAGTTCACGCAAGATTGCACTCTTTTAAGTTAAAATGTTATCATAAAAAATCAACATGCTAACTGTATTTTTTCGACCCAAAATTGTATATTGTATTGCAATTTTGTGGATTTAATGTAATTTTTTGGCATTATAAATAAGTCAACAAAGTAAAATATGTACTATTTAATTGCAATTAAGGCACTATTTTATAAATTAACTCACGTAAAAAGTACTTATCTGCGGTGTGTTAATAAGAAACCTTCACGCCATATAAAAGCTCCCTATTGGCATTTATTCAGAGGAACACGACCCTTTCTTTACCCTTTCCTGACTGTGCACGCTTTAAGGTGTTGCGGACCCTTCATACTTCACCCATTTGGAATCCCCATACACCCTCTCCGAGGGTCAAGATAGTAAAGAACCTTAAAGAGCCATCTGTATGGGGCAGCGAGGGTTTTATCTATTTGAACGTTGACCAAACTTAAGTTTGTGAAGTAACGAAATTAAATCTGAACTCAACTGTTTTTTTTATAAGTTTTAGATATATATTATATATTTTTAATATAAGATAACCGAATGTATAATATTAAAATTTCTGATAATCTGATTGGGCAAATTTTAAATATATCTAAGTTAAATACTGTATATACACAAAAATGTTATCTTTCAGTGATATCAAACGTTCGGCAAATATATCGATACAGAAGTGAATAATGCTTATGATTTTTTTAACATGATGCAATCGAGTGGGCGTTAAGTCTGAAGTACCGTTGAGATTGAAAATAAAAATAAAAATTGAACTTTTTATTCGCAAACAGTGAACTAAAATAGATATATGTGTTTGCATAATCTAAGCGTATTCAGTGGTCGTATATTACTTGTTTTGCATTTGACAAGTGATATTCAAATTAGACTTTTGTAGTTTCTGGCCGGTGTAACCGCTTTTCAACCCACATCCTTGTACACACTAATACATTTTATGACATACTATTAAGTAATAAGGCGGATAGAAATTTATTTTAGGTTTAGAATAAAATAAAGCACTTGGTAAGGGCTGCCTAAAGACGCAAAAAAGTGGGCATAGGAAATTGGAAGTCCGTGGCCCGAGGTAGAACGAGGTGGAAAAAGTTGCTGGACACAGCCAAGGCCTACAAAGGGCTGTAGACCTAGAAGAAGAACAAGGGCTGCCTAAACACTAAATTTAATAGGTATTTTGAATTTAGAAAAAATCTTTCTATTTTTAAAAGCTCTGAATAATACATATAACTTTCTAATAAAACAAAAGACATCGAAATTTTCATTTCTCTAAAACATACAAAGAAGAAAAAATAGAAATAACCAAGAATAACGAGAGTGGAGTGACTTGTGTCAACATTGAATAGCGAAGTTACACGGCGACCTTATGTAAACTTTACCTACGATTGTTCTGTTGCTGTTTCGCCCTTTGTTTCTTATTTGGTTGTTTTTTCATCAACGAACAACCGCTCTCCGCTGGAATATATGTTTGTTGTACTTATTATAAAACAAATAATACCGAACAAATGTAAGAAAATATCCTGTTTTTGGGTACGTCAATTCATTTTGTAACAAGGTGCTACAATAGACGAAAACTTTGGGTATAATTTGCAATATTAAAGTACATTTAAGTTTCATTAAAATAACCTTTTACTTTAATAACGTAACATGAAAATAGTCTAATTCAAAACTTTGAATATCGAATTTGAAAAACATTGTATGATATAGTCCAAAATAAATAAAAATATATAGTCAATACTTTGTTGGAAAATGCAACGTCAACGATAAAGATTTACAGTTCTACCGACTATTTACATTTGGAAATAAATCTTACTAATATTATAAATGCGAATGTTTGGATGCATGTTTGTTTGAAGGTATCTCGAGTACGGCTGTATGGATCTGATGCTGAAATTTGGCATAGATGGAGAACATAGCCTTGAAGAACACATAGGCTACTAATTAAGTTTTTTATTTATAATTTTTAAGCTAAGCAAGTATAATAAAAAGAAGTTACAAATGAAAAGCGGTCTGCGCGCGTAAATAGTAAGGACATGTTAGAAATTAACTTTATGTAAAGTTCACCTGAGCCAAGTTTGTTTGTGACGTATGTAGTACAATATTTGTTTAAATCCCTTCCCACACACATTTTGTGACTTTGGGAAAACAACTGGATGTAGCCTTCCTTAACTGATGATGAAGTGATCTGAAAGCATATGTTTATAATTATTTTGTGATTTAGAAAATTTTTATATGATATATTAGGGCGCGCTATCGAGCGAGTGTGCGGCGCGGGGAGTGCGGGTGGCGCAGAGGGCACAGGAATGGTGTGTGCGGCGCGCGCGCTGCTGGCCGCCGTTACGCGGGTGCTCCTCCTCGCGGACATGGTGGTCGTGCGGCAACTGTTACTGGCCAAGGACAAGGTACATTTAAGAAATTAAATTCTCGATCCATTTAAGATCAAACATCGCTCGATGTACATTCAATTATATAACCAACTGCGAAATTATGTTTGAAATAGCTTAGACCGAACAATTCAAGTTTTAGCCATCTTCTCAAATGTATGTCAAAACTTTGTTCGCAAACTTTGTCGGGTTGGCTTTACGACAAAACTTCACTGTGGCGCTTTATCTAGTGGCATTCAGTTGATTGCGCATCATGTTTAATGTGCCCAGGATAAATAGCGTGAAAGAGTTTTGTAAACACATAGGCCTGCTATAAAACCTTTATCACCAACACAGAAACATTCGGCCAAGTAATAAATTGGCAAACGGCTGCTCTACATATTACAAAAGTAGCATTAATTAGGTCATTGGGTTATTTTCTGATTTTCTGATTTTAAAACTATATTTAAAGATGAATAGACTTTGATACTTTGAATATATTATAAATAAAGTAACAGACGCTTTGTTTGTATATAATTTATGCAACAAACACTGTGAAGTAGAGCATCAAATGAAAGTTCTTCTTTGTTCGTAGATACTGACGCCTTTATTGCTCCCATAAGACCAGCCAATTTTTAAAACGTTAATTAAACTGTTCAAGACAAGATTTCGGCTAACGATGTGACATAGTTCTTTAGTAAAAAAAGCGTCTTTCGGCGTTGGCCGACAAAGGGTCAACAAAACACCACTCAAGACTTTGTTCCTTGAAAAGTCACGACAGAATCAGCCAGCCTTGAAGTGGAAGAATCTTAGAAATCTCTTATTTACTTTTTATGTAAGGTGGCGCGATCACTAGACCGTTTGGAATCTGTTTCGAACTTCGCGGAATTCGTGCGCGCGTTCACGGAGTTCGGTGGAGGGATGGTGGAGCTGGCGCGGCTGACGGCGGAGCGGCGCGCGGACCTGCGCGACGAGCGGCGACGTGCTCAGGTCGCCGCCGCTAGAAACGTGCTGGAACGATCCACGCTCATGCTACTCACATCATCTAAGGTATGTTCATCTCACTTCACTTTTATTCAAATTTTATTAATGAAAAGATTTCTAGATCGTTAGTAAAAACTACGAGAGGTTTTTAAAACCTCTTCGGAAGTCACTACGATATATATAAAGCAATCTCTTATCTTTGTAAGGCTTTCAATATCAACGTTAATAATTTAAATTTACACTGTGCAATAATTTGAAAACCATATGAAAAACATAGGAAAAGCAAGAAGGATCAAAGTAAAATCTAATCACAGCAACAATGAAACACTGAAAAAAGCGAAGCGAAGCGCTTGTAGCCACTAAAACAGAATTGTTTTTTTGCGGTCGCACCGACCCGAGTCGAGGAATAATCACGGCTAACCAATATGTCAGCACTTTCGCATTAAACTGACCTCGTAGTTGTTTTCCTACTATACTTTTTCTTTGCAGCAATATTAAACGTTGTAAACTTCAATAAGATCGAATTAAACCGGATTAAAAAGAAAGTAGTAGACAAAAGGTAACAAGTCTAACATGAAATATAATAATTATGTAAAGATTGATCAAATACCTGTTAAAACTATACATATTAATATAATATATCTATAGTAATCAGTACTGCCTCAAAACAGTGTACACAAATGTATTTTCAATATCAACAAACTATCTTGAGTCCTGTATACAAAACCCCAATGCTAAATACATTAACCCGCTCATGATAAGGTTTTGCACACTTAGTTACTCCGTATACGCGACCTAAAAACAAGATTGGAGAATTTGCTTAGCGTACTAAGCGAATCATAATAATAACTTGAGATTGTATTATTCACCTAAAGCCTGAAAAATACGGACATTTTTTTCTTAGATCATTTACTCCGACGAGTGTAACTAAGCCCCCATACTTTACCGTAATGGTGGCTTTCAAGCTTTCTAATTTGTTCGTAAACTTTTACGATTTATTTGAGTTCATTGAATCCTAAAATAATGGCAATTTTCTTTACATTTTCAAATGAAAGTAATGTTTTTATAATTACTGATTTCAATTTATTTTCTATAATTATTGATCACGAAATGATTAGTACTTAAACGATTTTTAATAACAATAACTAAAGGCAAGATAACACTGTATCCGAGGCATACTAGTTACTGCCTTTCAATTTAAGTAACACAAAAAAGTTAACATTGGTTTAATTCGGACTGTAGTTATAAAATGTTATTTCCAGGGTAGTTGTCTATTGTTATTAATATTAATTGTAAAATAACAACAACAATTAAGCGACAAAATATAGTCGTATTATATCGCAAAACATCTTATCGCGTTACGTCAATTCGTCAGGCGAAGAGTCGTACACAAGGCAACGTTAATCTACAAAAAATCGACGTTTTAGGTGCTTGGTGTCTTAAACGATACAATGTCAGAGATTCGTACGCAACGCGCGTCGCCGACATCTATTTGTTATCGCCAAAGATAGTCGCTCGCAACCTACCTTAAGGACGTCGTGATATATGTAGTTGCTATGCCTGTACTGCCCGAATAGACAACCCGCGTCGACGATTCTCGCGACGCAGCCATTTAGGTTGCCTTGTGTACGAAGGGCCTAATGTATCTAATGAATATTAAGAGTAGTGTATTGTACCTTGTTTTAGACATGTATGAGGCACCCGGGTAGCGCCTCTGCGCGGGAGAACCGCGACACGGTGTTTTGTCAGATGCGACGCGCCATGGACCTCATACACTACGTGGTACGCGACGGCCTGCCCGGACACGAGGAACAGTCGCACGAGGTTTGATCTCATATTTATATTCTCTATTACATCGCTCACATATCGTTAACATTCACCCGACAAAAAGAGTTACATAACCAAGATAAATAACAATGTAACTCTTTTCTTTAGTTAGGTCGATACATAAATACGTTAAAAAAATGTCTGATCTAAAATCGTCACAAATGTAAAGATAAAATTAAAAGTTTTATTTGTAGGTTGCGAATAAAAGTAATCATTGTTATTTGAGAATAATGAAAACAGAATATGCTCAATTATAAAGTTAAATTAAAGATACAGTTTGTTTTGAAATATAATGAATTTTCATGTTAATTATAGTATAACTTGTGTTTGGAAAATATTAAAATACGAATTAAATTAAGTTCAATAGGATTGTTTTGAACAATTCTCTAAAGTTTCGCTAACTTTCTGTTGATTAATGTAAATGATCAGTTTATCTATACAGAAAAGTAGTAGCCTAGTTTTGTCCATAAACCTTTATGTCCTTTATTTATTATTCGTTCAAAGTATTCCAACTATAGAAATACAAAATATGAACAATAGAATTGATCTTTTGATAGTAACATTTTTAGATAAGAAATGCACATGACGTCACTAAGGCATATCGGTTTTGTAAACTGGACACTATTCTGATAATTTCTAGCGTTATACTCTGGCCGACGTCCAACATTCAGGCTACCTTCGCTTCTAGTTTATATTTGTCTGTTTCCAGACCACTTAAAGCCTACTGACATTTTCCAGGCTCGATGCTAATGGCAGTTTCACACGAGGACAGTACAATGAGGTTAAAGGCAGAGCAATAGACAATACGGTGCTGATATTGTGTGAATGCACACATACTATCCAAATAGTCCTGTGCTGTCACGGTAACGCCGTTCCAACGATAGCAATTCTGAATTGTCTACTGCTCTACCTCTACATTCTGCCCTCGTGTGAATCACATAAAGGTATATTGCTGTGAACTCAGCGTTGGCATTTAAGCCCCCGTCGTTCATGTAATTCCAGACTATTATGCTCGAGACAACGCAAATGGATCGTATCTACGCTCCGGCTGACAATGCCAATAACGCCACTATACCAGTTAAGCATGTGGAAACTATACAGCTCAATTTATGACTTCTTAGTTGTATATACATATATATTTTATACGGTAACATATTATATGTAAATGGTTACGTATTAGGCACATTTAGTAATGATTATATGATAAACTTTTTGTACATCTATTCACTAAAAAAAAACGTTACTCAATATGGTAGAATAGGTGTAAATATTTTTTTATAATTTTTTTTCTTTTGTTTTATTTTATCAATCGCGTTTATTTATTTTTTGCTCAATAAAAAGCTTTCTTTTTGTACTTCAATGTCTTCAAGAGGAACAAAACAATGAGGTTTAAGATTTATTCAGTCTGTTGGAATTCTTTAAAGAAATAAGGAATTTACGGAAACTGTTTTAAATTACAGACATCGTAAATTGTAATCTGGTCCCATTTTCCCCTCGTACTTAACCGAATGCTGCTCTCATTTCGGCATTATGACGAAGCGTTTACCTCCAGCGCTGATTTCTTATAGGATATCGGAATTTATTACATTTAAGATTTATTTTAGAAATGTATAATGTGTAAAAATAAACTCGGTGACAGAAATGTAAAAAACCATAACGCGTATTGTTAGTATTTGTAATATGTAACACCCTGTATTTCCTGGGGTGGATGTTTTTAACAACAAAAGGATTTTTATTACAGTACTACTGAGCACTACTAGAGAAAACAAAGAAATTTATTAAATAAAACAACGAACATTAAATGCATAATTAATGAACTATAAAAACAACCCGTAATTCGATCAATCGATTAGTATAATTCGTTCTCCGTCTTCTATTGGATTATGTTTATCCAGGACGGAGCATCAATCAGTGCTGTAGAACGTGCCGCTAATGGAATTTTAAATCGCGGGATTGCATACACTTGTAACTGACGACACATTCATAAGTCTCTCACTAAAGTAGCTCCACAATACGTAATTTTTTAGGCACTTGTAGATTGCAGATAGCTTAATTACTAATTTTAATTAAAAATAAATTACAGAAATTATTATATATTGTCTCGATTACCGAATGATGGTTCCAACGTTGATCGTATGTTAATTTGGCAATTTTTATAGAACTTTAAAAATGATTACGATAGACTTTTCAAGTTTCATTTTTTATTTTTAAATTAACATTTGCAAATGGCATAACTGACGTCGTCGTTAACTCATGTGTCCCTTCAGAGGGATTGGAAGGCTGCCCAAAGATAATGTGACTTGACTATAGTCAACCACGTTGGCCCAATGCGGGTTTGTTGACTTCACACATATCTGTAAATCGGTCAAGCGCTTAACATCTGCGCCATCGACGCTCACGAAACATTAGTAAGATTTTGTACAAGTATCCTAAAATGATAATCCAATTGCTAAGAAGCTTAAAAATCTTTTAGCAACTAAACTTATACTTTTGAGTAAAATTATCAAGGTGAGTATATACTACAAAGTTTTGTTTGAAGAGAACTCACTTTTAAAGTTATCTATTATAAGTTAAGCAGGGAAAGCAACTTTAAGCTGCATACAGTAGTTAAAAGCTTAGTTTAACTTTAATACGAGGTATAAAGCTCAATCTAGATAATAGTAAACACATCGCTCGACGTTTAAAAACTTTTTTAGTGAGTAATCAAATAATTTTGCAATTTTGTTAAGACTTGATATTTCGAATAAACTATCGGCGAAAGATAAATAATTTTAATTCGTTTTAAAAGCATAAATAGAACAAATATAAAAACGTAAATTGTTGCCTCTATTTCTAGGAGTATTTATAAAAATAGTTTTCCGATTTATAGAACAGCCTGTATTCGTTTAGCGATGTCAACATTTTTGCACACAAAATTTTACAGACGATCTTAAACTTTCATCGAATAAAAAAAATAAATAAATTCACGTTTCAATATTTTACAAGCCAAAAAAGTGAAGTCATAAAGCGTTGGTCAGTTTCTTAAATTTGGGAGTCAAGGTATGACGTATGTAAGTATTAGTGAGGAATGTAGGAAAATTAAGTAAGTAAATTAGGAGCATCTAGTTCCCCTGCCTGCTTTAACTTTTCGTTAATTTCTTTTCATACCCACCCTATTGTCTATTTTTATTTCTATATTTCAAAACATAAACTCGGATTTTTTTATTTCTCTTGTAGTTGCAACCTTTCTCGGATAGTCATCAGCAGGTACAAAACTTATGTTGGTATTAATTAACGTCTAGACGAGTGCCTTTTATAAATCAGTATCGCCGTATGTACAACAGCTACCTATATAAAGTGTATTTATATGCTTTCTTTTTCCTTAATACAATTTGTTTTTTTTAGAAATTTACACATTTTACTTTCTCAAAATATACAAAATAATTTCCTCAGGGCTTGAGTAATTTACCAAATAATTGTGAATATAATTTACATTTTGAAGTATATATAAGAAAGTAAAATGTGTTATTTTGCACCCTAAAAATGGTTAACGTTATTTTAATGTGTTTCTTTGAAAACAACGAAGCATCTCCGGGATAGGTACGTCCTTTTTCAAGTACCACTCTTTGCTATCCGACACGCGCAGACTTAGGTCTAAGTAGGTTCGTTCCGTAGGTAGTGAAGCTTCACGCCTTAAATACATAAAATTACTAGTGTAAAGTGACAACGCGAACGACACGATAACACGATTTGATACAGTAGGTATACGAGTACGCTAAGCTTCGTTGGCAGCTTAAGCAGTTCACGCTAGAACATCTCGTAGGCAAATTTTATCACACACTACACATTCAATCAGGCCTTTAGAGTACCATAGCTTTTTTTACTAACCGTTAAACAGTAGGCAAGAATATGCAGGTTATTCTTAGACTAATTCTTAAAACTAAATTACGAGAAATAGAAAATATTGGAAATGTTTGCATCCTATTTAGAGACATTCGGGTAATACAAACTCGACGATACCCTTTTAAAAATTCGCATGCAAATTTTTCAAATATTCACTGTGTTATTACAAATACATATTATTTTCTATTATTAAATTATATTAGATGTAGGTTGAATTCTTCGTGAATGTAGATATTTTAGCGTGTACCTACGTTGGGCCCAGGCGGCGCAGTGGGAGGCGGGCACCGCGCTCGGTGCGCTGCGTGGGCTGACGGCGCAAGTGCGGGCAGCACGAGCGCGGGGCGGCGCTGACGCTGCCAGGAGGCGGGCACTCGCTAGCACCCTGCGAGCCCTGGTCGAGAGGACGCACGACTTCACTGACTCCGCATACACCTCGCACGACCATAGACAAAGGATATTGGCGCTCGCCGAGCGGATAGCCTACGAGCTAGAAAGGCTAGTCGCAGTTGCTGTGTCTATGGTAAATCCAACACTAACGTTCTATTGCATGCAAAGCAAATAACAATTCAATTTGTGTGCAATATACTTTTACTTATTTGTGCCAATTACATCGGTCTGAGACCAAGTTCACTAGATTCTCCAATTGGATTCTGCAACCGAACACTTTGTCGAAGTTTTACTGTCTCCTGGCTGAATAACATCGATGTTGATTCTTTTATGTGCAAATACGACCACTGATATATGTTTGCATGTCGTTGTTGCAGGAAGAGCAGGGTGGCGGTGGGGGTGGGTGCGGGGGCGGAGGTGCAGCGCTGGAGAGCGCGTGCGCAGGCGCAGCAGGCGCGGCGGGCGAGCTGGAGCGCGCGCTGGTAGCGGCGGCGCGGGAGCAGGCGCGGGACCTCCCACCGCTGGCTGACGACGCACGCCGCCTGGCTACCGACCTCGCCTACATAGGTAACCCCCCGCGCCCCATAGGTACTGTCCCTTTCCCTTGAGGCGAACGCTTACGTGCTTGCTGCGAAGCTTTTGCATGGCCTTTGTTATGTTTAAAAAATCCTAAAGATTTTGGCTAGGACCCCGCAAAGAATGTAATAATGTGTAAGTGGACGATATCTGCAGTAAGACAGAGTCAGGCAAAAACCGGAACTTTATAGATCATTTGTAATCATAATCAACTGTACGTTAATAATTTCATAAGGAAACTTGACAATTTACTTCGCTTTATGCCTGGAATTTATTCACATTATTGATTTATCTCAATATTATGGTCTCCGTGCAGGTTTTCAATCTTAGTCACATAATTTCTATTTGTGCAATATTATTTACAAATTAGAGTAATTTCGTATTCTAAAACAGTTACTTTAATAAATTGAGAAACAGATAAAATAGCACTTATATAGCTATTAATTGGAACGACTATTTTAGTTCGCTGGAAGTGCATAATCCACCGCAGCGCTTAGCGGTCTGTCTCGGTACTAAATCGGAGACTAAGCCAATAATGGTCCCATTTATATGCTGACCATAAAAACAATAATGACTGAATTGTACGTAAATTTAGTGTTAGTGGTTTGTGCTACTCGTAGTTTGTACATATTTAGTCTAATCTTTAAACCTATGCTTTGCTTATTGCTTACAATTACGCTTTGCTTTTAATAAACGAAATACACTGAATAAACATTTTAACATGTTTAGTAACAATTAAAGAAGTAATTTATTACAAAGCAGCTTTCATCGTCGCTTAGCACGTAAGTGTTCGTCTGTGTTTATAATTGACTAATAATAAATTATTCATTAGTGTTAGGATAAAAGATGAGATTTGTTGCAGCAAGCAGCGGAGAGTCAGAGAGACTGCACAACATAGCCAGCCGACTGCACGAACAATTAGACCATATTATAGAGGTATTATTTGGAGCTTAAAAAATACCTAATTAAAACGACATGCTGTAAATGTAACATGGATAGAATGGTGATAGTTATGCGTAAATACATAACGCTTAATGCAAAGTATGAGAAATCTACAGTATGCGTCTCTATAAGCAATAAAATAACAGTTTACTGTAAAGCTCTTTTATCTTGTCAACCTGTAGATAGTGTTATATCAAAGATTTATTTAAAATTATTCCAGGTATGTAAACTCCTCCGGCATATAGCGATGTCGGAAACCCTTCAAGTGAGCGCGAAATTTGCGGAGATCAACCTGAGGATATACGGTCCGCAAGTGGTGACGGCGGCACGCACACTCGCAGCACACCCCGGTAGTGCGGCCGCGAGGGAAAATCTCGACGTGTTTGTCGATATGTGGGCATGGCTGCTGAGCGATGCCGCAAGACTGGCTAAGGAACTCCTCGACCTCACAGATGACAGACCAGACAAACAACAGTACAGCAGTTTACCAAGGCCGGGGGTAATTCATTATGTTTGAAATAATCATGTGAATCATAACCTTGTTTTTAGAAAATGTACTTGTATTTTAAAGCTTTGTTTGTTAAAAACGTCACAGATACAGTATTCAAAATCTAATTTATACAATTTCAGAAACATGGAACAACAAGTAAACCACTGAAAGCTGTGCGGCTAGATTCAGATGAACAAGCTAAAATCGCCAAGTCAGGACTGGAGATGAAAATGATGTCCTCTGAGATGGACGCCGAGACTGAAAAATGGCAGGGAGCTGATGAAAATAATGACATTGTGAAGAGGTAAAAAGCAGTAAAAACCCATTCAGCTATACCTTAACCTTTAATATTACGGGTCGCACGTTTAATTTAGAATATTGATCTTTGTTATTTGTCATTATCAGAGCGAAAAATATGTCTTCCATGGCCTTCGCTATGTACCAATTCACGAAAGGCGAGGGCCGACTAAATACGACGCAGGACCTTTTCACACAAGCGGAATACTTTGCTGAAGAAGCTAATAGACTTTATAAAATAGTTCGACAATTCTCATATCAGGTAAGTGCCATCAAATTTTTTAAGTACAAGAAAACTGAAGAATTTCTTCTAATAATGCCATGGAATTGCATTTGCTATGCGTCTAGTGTATGAAGTAAATTCAAATAAAGCATTAGATGATTTGTTTTTCCAGGTACCAGCGGGTACGATGAAGAAGGAGTTGCTAGAACATTTGGACAAGGTGCCTACGTACGTGCAGCAGCTGCAATTCACGGTAAAGGAGCCGACGGTGGGGCGTGCCGCTACATTCAGCAAGGTCGACAACGTCATCCAGGAGACCAAGCACCTCATGAACGTCATCAGCAAAGTCGTCACCACCTGCTTCGACTGCGCCAATAAGGTGAACTATTTAATCTTATACTTCGTTCGGTTCTATTTTTATCGAAAATTTGACCAACACATCGCACATTTTGAAAATTTAGCGAATTTTCTAGAAATATTAAAGATTTTAGTGCATTGGAACGTAATGTTCCTTAGGTACCTTTGCCGTGGGAGGCGAGTGTGGGAGTGATTAAAAGGCACCAGAGTGTTGCACCCGTTAAGTACTTTAAAAATTTTATTTCGTTCATGGCTGTTAGACTATCGGGATACGGGGGGACGAGTGTGGTTACATTACTGAAGGTTTATTCTTGATTTATTCTACTTCACAAAAATTATTATTTTTGTTTAAATCAAATACATTAAACAAGAATAAACCTTTTAGCTATTTAGAAATTAGTTTGACATAGTCATAGTACAATTGAATATTGGGAGTCCCTTTTAGTTATACTGTATGTTTTATTTAAAAATTTGTTTCTGTTTTCCTACCGCTATGCACTGGGTGGTTCCCTCCACGCCAGGGTCTTATTCCGTTGGACAAAGCGATTAACAAATCCTCAACCAAAACAAGAGATATATCGGTCTGTCTCATTGTCTGTTACATTTCAAACATATACCCCTATGTTTATGTAATTCTGTGTGTAGTTACGTCTCAGCATGTTTTGTGTAATCCTGTAAAGTATATTTTAATATTTAAATATACATAGTAAATATTGTATTGTTGTTATTATTATATTGATGTGTAAAATATCAGCTAGATAGCTAGGCATCAAAAGTTATCTATACAAGTGCTCATATTCAGGCACGGCAGGCTACGGCGTTTGTTTTGCTCTATTTCAATATAATTTTTTTAATACTTTAACTGTTTACATATTTTGTTATTTTTTATTTTCTCCTTTTATTTTTTAATTTCTTTCCTAATTTCAGTATTCCCTCTGTATGCCCGAGAGAGTACCCATGCATTGGAAACCAAACTTACAAAAAGCATCTACATTTAAAAGCGAAAATAGTGTATTAAATGGATGAAGTAGGTATAAAAATGTGTGGGTTAAAGTTTTCGATCACCAAACGGCAATGTGGCAATAACACACTCTTAATTCAGCCTAACATTACTAAACATCGTGGTTTCTTAAGTTTAGCGTAGAATTTTTATATGGTGTATTCAATAGCTAATATCTGGATGTTGTTTATTGTGTGTTGCGATGACCTTGTTATACTTATTTAGTTTAGATATGTGTGTCATTACAAAATAATTGTTGTTTATCCTAAAGTTTATAACGCTGCTTACAAACTTTAGGATGCTATTCCGCTGCGCTCTCTTTCCATAAAGTAAAACTACTTGATTCACTTTTGTCGATTAAATGAACAATTAATAATATAAACTACAAATGTGGCGAATTAGTTTTTATGAAATTGGTTCGCGTGCATGTTGGTTGTTGTCTTTAGGATGGGTGCAGTAGCGATGGGTAGACGTCAATATTTGGTCCCGGTTTCGCCACAACTTTTACTAAAATCAATAATCCTAGATTCATAAACAATACGCTTGATGCTTAGAATTTATTTCATAAATATAAGATGGCTAGCACAAAGAATATCAGATTCGCAGACCGAATCTTGAACATGTTATACTACTGACTTTGAACGCCTCACAAACCATTCTCATTTACAGTTCTTGATCTTCGAAAATTTCGTAGAGGTAACTTCAATATTTGAACTTAGCAGACATAATAAAAAAGTTGTGGCAAGACTGCGCCAAAGAAGATGAAAGGGAACCTCAGATTATAAAGTGTTTTGTGTGGTGCAGTACAAACTGGACTTCACTGGTCTGTCTGCGGGCGGTGCGGGGTCGGGTGCGGGCGGTCGGGCACGGGACGAGGATACAGCGGGCGGTGGCAGCGGCGACGCCAAGCCGGGCGGGAGCTCCTCCGACACGGCCATGTGACAGTACGGCATGGGCCGGCGCGGCAAGGGCGACGCGCGCCGGACCAGGGTCAGCTTCCTCTTGTTCTAAAGGCTTAAACGTCTTGGACTCGTCGCCTTGGGTCGGACGGACAAACGCTACGGGCTCGTTCACATCGAATTCGTTGGCTACCAAAGTTGGTACGTGCCTTCATTTTACTATATTTGCAATCCTGCTAGTTAATCATAGTAATGACTGATACATCGTCGCTAGAATCATCAAATCAAATGATAAAATTCAAACGATTAAAAGTTTATTTTAGAATGTATATAAATTTCACCAGAAGCGACTATTAAAAACCATAAAAATTCCCATCTACCATACCAATGTGATACCAAGACGGAACACATCATATTAATCGAATAAACTTAAAAGTATACATCTTCTTTTTTAATTTATTACGAGAGATGTTAGAGCTATTCTGGGGTTAGATTTTTCTGAAGCGATCCCTGGCGTTTGTCCTTTATCGACCGTTTTGCTGGTAATCCATTGAACTGTTTGCAAATAAAATGTTTTGATGGGTTCCAGCAAATTCAATGATTAGTTTTATTAAGATGATTAGTGCGATAGACAGATAAAGCTTCGGCAGACCACTTGCGACACACAAAAGCAGATACGTAATGCTAACGCCAATTAAAATAAGGTGTTTATTTGGTTTTTGTATTTACGATTATAAAAATACGTTGAATTTTGATGTAATTTTTATTATACTAATGTATTACATCATTTCGCGTATTTTCAAATATTTTGTACTTCTAGTTTAAGTAGTAATCATGTTAGTTGTTAGGATTTACATCACGATGACATGCCTCGTAATAATATTGTGATCATTAATTATTGAGTGAAAACGTACAATAATCAATATTTGTTACATTTTAATGTTACACATTGTTACATCAAATACGTAAACGACACAGAGAATACTATTTTTTATGTTTCCCCCTTAGATAATATTAACCTTATGTATAGTATGTATTATATACTCCATCTGCTTTATCGATAAATTTTATGTTCAAATCTGTCTTCTAAAACGCACACTTGCACCTATGTGGTCCTGTCGCACTGTTTTTTTTGTTTGTTGCACGCCATGCTTACTCTATTTGTTTTGCAATGTTATAGTTATATCTACATGCAACATTTATACAAAATTCTACTTCAATAACACAGCGTCACTATCATTCAATGTGTATCGGTGTTAGTCTTTTGTTTTATTAATTTCGTGTATATAGTTCGGATATGTGAATCGCGTCAGACACTGCATGATTGTGAAACAAAACGATAGATGTGTGTTGCATGTGTGTATTTTATGGATGTCGTACTTCATCTGTCCAAGGGGGAAGATGTTAAGCACTAAGATGAGAGTAAATTGACTCTGGTTGCTGCTAGCACCCACGTCGCCTGAGAAACTATGTGTTATATAGACCATTCGCCGCTGTTTTGCGGGCAGGTTAAAGACAGGCGTTGCACCCGCATTGCATGTGCCCGTGATATCCGCTGGCCTTGCGAGTATACCGCTAGCATGCCCATTGTGTCTATCTTAATCGTAACGACTAAAGCTATTGATGTTGGCAATAAGTAACATATCACGTATTTGTTAGGTATTTGAATTGTTTATTATTAATCACGTTATTTAGTGTTTAAAAATCATTGTAGATAACAAATAAACGTGCCTCGCTCTTAGTTGTAAATAATTGGGGTATAGCATTGTTAAATTTAATATTTTACTATGGGTAATAAAGATCTTGTTAACATCAGTTATCTATTTAATATTTAGGTTTTTTATATTGACGTCAATAAAATATGTAACTAAGCAATAAAATTACTGCTTAGATTCATCGAACTGTAGGTTTATAGAATTTAAATAATCAGTTGCGTTTTAGAATGATTGGAATAGTAGTAATATAATTTAACGCATTAAGCGGCTTCAGTTAAATGCTTTTGTAAAGCAACAAATGAATTCTAGAAATCCATAAAGCTTTACATTATTATTACTTGATATTTTGTTGGAAATATGTTTAAAATTTATACATTGCGTTCTAAATAAAAATGTGCTGTAACCCGTGCCGTCATAGACGTTAAATCGAAAAAAGGGTATGGTCAGTAATTCTTAAATCCGAAACTCCAGTGAAATAATTAATTTATATAACATTTTGTTGAATTCTGTACTATTCTAGCGATGTTATCGGGGTCTTTAACGGGCACATTCTTATTTGAAACGGATAGAAAAATTTTCAACAAAGTATCGAATTAAAAAAAATGTTGCTTATTTGTCTGCGCGATTTATATCCGCAAAAATCCTGTCAGTATCCTGCTCAATAAATAGAATCGGTCTGTATAACACGTGTTTCCGGTTTAATAAAATATGTCAAAAGAACTATTTCGCACTTAACTTATGATAGTAATAAACCTTTACTTATATGTATAATATTGTTTATTGCCTTCGTAATTGATTGAAATATTTAGATTAACTAAATAATTAAGATATTTCCGATTCTCGATCACTATTTATAATTAATGTAAAGAGCTTCATAAAGCTTTATAATGCGTGTTGTGAATCGAAATTATGGCCACGTAAATTTAGACACAAAATATTAGTGTAATTTGTGCTTCGATATAAATAAATGATAAAATTTATAGATATAATAAATGTATTTTAAATGTAATATTTAATAATGTTTTACAGTTAATTTTTTTTGTTAAAATTATTAATTAAATTGGATTTTATCGTGTTCAATTTAGAACTATAATTCCAAACATGTCCAGCACTGTACAGCACTTAAGGCCAATAAAATAGTTTTTTTTAATTAAAAAAAACATATATCGATTGGTAATATTGAGTTGATACGGAAGCATTGTTTTATTATTTACTTGATCAAACGGCCATAGTCATATTAAACTTCCTTGATTGATAAAATGTTAAATTATTCTAATATTTATTGTATAAAATTTTTTTACTAAGAAAATTTAAAGCAATTGAATACTACAGCTGAATCCATATAATAAGTTATCTAAATATGTTTTTTAATAGTCTATAAGTAAAAAAAGTCGGGAATATTCACTAATACAATAGCTGTGCCATTGTGCCTCATAAAGTAGTTTAACAATGATTATAGGACAAAATTAAGTCCATTATAGCCTGTGTTTAGATATCCGCTACGGCAGAGTGCGTTGCAATAGCATAGCCGCAATCGCATTTATACCATATTGTAACAATTAAGGATAGTCGCAGCTTTAGTTAACCGAATTAAGGTTTGAATTTTGTCAGAGTATGACAGCCACTAAAAATACAACATAAGCTATGTACAGTTTTTTTATATCATAAGGTGGCAAACGAGCGAGCGGCCACCAGGAATCGCTGATATAGCGATGTGACCGTTGCCCATAGACATACGCAATTGCATATGCGTTGCCTACCTTTAATCGATGGAGGAGAGGATGCACAGAAAGAAAATATTTTCCCTTTCCATGCATCCTCTCATCCGGAAAGTCCATTTTCACTTTCCATCCTTTCCTTATCAGAAAAAGGGTGGGAAGGGAAGAGGACTAAGTTAGACCTCCGGGACGCACACTCATCAGACGAAACGCGGAATTGCTTCTAGTTCGCGCCTGTGTTCTGTGTGGTCGTGGTATTTAACCGGGCGAGCCGGGCAACTTTGTGCGAAGATGTTAAAGCGAGCTCTACCACTGTTAAAGTTTTAGACAGTACTATCATAGTTTTAAGAAGGTAACTTATCTAAATCAAAGTTCGGAAAACTTTAGCTCGGTCAACTAAGTCTGCGAGATGTTTATATAGGTTTTTAGCGTTACAGCGATTTGTGATATTACAAAATATTTAATGAGATTTAGTACAACTTTTATGATTTCAAGATATATAAAGGTAGTTAACTTTAGTGGAACACGAAAAGAACACCAATAAAATAGTGACTATTAATACTAATATAAATATAGTTCGTTATACTGTAGTAATGGTGTAGTTCGGGACAGGGTCCGAAATGAATGAGTTGGATATAGTACCATCCAAACTTTATGACAGCTCGCAACTTCGTATGGAACTGCGCAAAGCAAAATTTTTGCTATCGACGAGATATTAACGTCCTATTTTCCTATGCACGCGTTCCTCTAACCTCAGTGGCCCAGGTCCCACTGATTCAAGCGGAGGTGTGCATAACATGCGCTCGCAATCAACCACGAGCCGGAATAAAGTTTGATACAACACCAATATTATTTTTGGTCAGCTTATATAAGCTTATTCAACGAAAAACTTCCTATCGTTTGCACTAAATTATTAGTTGTCAATCATAAGGGAATCAAATACAAGCACACAAAATATAATATTTAATGATAAACATTACATTGATCCCGATTTAGGCAACGAACCAACTAGCAGTTATATTAATTGTAACGATATAACAAAGGTGTAAATAACCTACGTAGTAAAAAGTTGTATATTTTTATTGCTGTAATATTGAGATGTAAAAGATGGTAACCCTGGAGGAAAAACCCCGTTAAGTGAATATTGTATATATTACGTTTTATAAAACGTTAGAATAAGGAGCCTTAGTTTATTCACTTGTATGTTTTAATTCTATTTAATATTATATTATAAAATAGATTATATTGTCAAGAAACTGTTGTGATTGTTATAATATATATTCAAAGTTGCATTTTCATTAAAAATAATTAGAAGTATATTTTCCATAGTGCTGCCAAAGTTTAATGATATAATTAGTATTAGTCATGTTGTTTACCTAACGAAATATTTTGAGGTTATTCGAGAATTTATGGATTGTATTTTGATGTGGCCGAAGAATGTAAATGTTTGAAGTAGCCGCCGATCACCACGTGGACGGCATAGGTTATTGAAGCAATTTGATTGATTGTGTACGGTATTGTAAAGGATTTGCGGAAATCACCAATTAAAAGAGATTCATACGAATTTACCTTTCTTTTATTTAAACCTTAATCTGTCCAATTGGTAATTTTATGACTATGATTCTATTGTTTTTTTTTCTTGGCAACTAGTTTATTCTGTCTTCTTTCTCCTTGCCAATTATAAAATCTATTTAAATTGATAAAATAAAACAAATGTTCCTATATATTACGTATTTATTTATATTTATTCAAAGGTACAATATATTACATCGTCCAAACTTCATTGCGCTCCAACATATCGTCATATCCTTTGCAATGACTAAGCAAATAATCAGTATGGTAAAACGGGTCAAAACCCTACATAAAATACAAAAATTAAGCATATTCCTTAATATCTAAATATCTAATGTTATAGCGGAAGTCAATACTGTAGTGTAGGAAATAATACGAATTTAATAATGGCATGTAGATTAAATAAAGATTATGCATTTCATAAATTACGTCTCATTGAGTAACATGTCAAATAGAAATTCAAGTAATCGAACGATTACAAGAACATATTTACACATAAAATCTTAATAAAACATGTATACAATAAAGTATATAGTTATAAAACAAACATCCTTTAATATATATGTTATTTATGATAGGATATGATATCCGTCCTGCTATGTTCGACACAAACACGGCACTGAAGCAACAACGCTTGTCCTTGCAAAGCTCCTCGCTCTCGGGCCCTTACAAATACAATGAAACGCTAACATCTAGCTAGAGCCTATCTCACAACTGACCTATGAGCATACTTTAATATCACTAAGCACGATATATCCAATGCAAAATATCGATATTAACCAACATCGAATAATCATCCCGATACCGAGTTATAAAACGGTTACGAATTTTGATAATCTCTTAGGCATTCATTTGCACCGATCGAGCGGAAAAAACCCGCACCTAAATAGTAAAAAAGTCGAAACCACATCAAAATTTAGAATCGTGTATTTCCTAAATGCGAAATTACTCGAAATACCTACAATGCAATAAATTCTATCATCACGAAATCGATATTTCAAACTCGTATGCATAAATCGCTAGCGTCAATTAACTTTATCTAAATATCTTATTGAAATTTCAAAAGTGCCTAGTTATTAATCTTAGACTTTGAGCTGAGCCGTAAACGATATCGGTGGCGTTTTCCTTTACGATCAAATAATTCCGTACAATTAAGGCTTGGCCACATCAGCAGCATATTTTCTTTCTAACTTAAAAGATTCAAGAATTCCTCTACCGCACGTCTACTCACGAAAACCTGTTGCTAACGCACATGTGGCCACTCCTTTAGTCGCTTTAAGCTGACCAATTACAAGCTACTTTGGCAACATTGTGGACGTTTATGTCGAAAGAACGTGCGATTCTGTAATAAAAGTTGTGCTGTCCGATTGCTGCACAAAAACCTTGCATGTCTTTGCTAAAAAAATGTTGATGAAAATTTATTATAAAAATTAGGCCAAACTTATTAAATAAATGCTTTGTCATGGAAAATGTCTTATATAATATAAAAAAAGGTTTAAACGAACACTGCTGGATAATGGTACTTTTATGTCCGAAGTAGTATTTTTGTCCGTAGTCTTTGACATCGTTGTTCGAGTACAGTTGTGGGTTATACGAAGATTGTTTTAAACTTGTGCAGGTCACTACAACACTATTCCTGTTGCAACACTTTTAAAAGACCAATCTGAAAAAGAAATTCAATAATAATAAGCCCTCGAGGCTTCGTATCCCAAAGTCGAAGTCTCGTGTCGGCCGAATTTGTACAATCTTAGCGAACGTTTAAATCAAACTTTCATTATACATATGAATAATAAATACATTTCCGAAAACTTAAGGTTAATGGAATAAATAAATATTGGCCCACTCACTTTTGCAAAAAAAAAAATTAAACAATTATCAACTTATAACTACAAAATTTTTAGAAATCTGCGAACTTCAAAAAATATATTCACGACAGCAAATCCGGACCATAGAGTGCATTAGTTTTTGTAAACTACTATTTGGTCCAAATGACATAGATTAATTTCGAATGTCGTACGAAATTCATCGCGTGTAAAATACCAAATGTTTATCACTTCTTAAATAACTTAAAACTAAAAGAATTAGCAAATATTATACTATATACAAAGTATAAAACAGATCCCCTTGATTAGTGAACGTTTTTCCCGTCATAAGCACAAATTCAAAATTAAATGACAAACATGAATTATTGACGCTCGGACCACATACACAGGGCCGGACTACGCTCTAACTTATTACATCGTGACGTCATCATGAGGCCGTACTCCATATAAAATGTAATACAATATTTTTGCGTTTAAAATTAGAATTATTGTTCCATCTTTTTTACTAACATTAAATATAATTAATGTAGTATGGATGGATGATTGTTAACTTTGATATAGATGTAGAACATAATCTAGAAGAGCACATAGGCTATTAAGTTTTTACTTCCACCCGGACGATGTCGCGGTCGACATACGATAATTTCCATTTAGCGAACACAAAATTAGGTACTCTGTTTATATACATAATACGAATAAAATTAAGAGTCGTTATTTAAATGATCTCGCCATTTTGTATGTGGTCCGTGCGTCAACTATTGTACATAGTAGTTGTATACATACTTAGCGAATAAAACAATTAGTTAACTATTCAGACAATGGCACTATGTTCAAGAATTTTAGTTAATAGATAACAATCAAATCTCTTAAAAATCTCATTGAGCTAACGCGGAAATATTAAAGTTTACAAAGGTACAACACGAGTTAGTGGGAAGCGATATGTGGGTTGAGGGAACAACACAATTTCATACAAAATGACAACACCCGGCACCGCGGCACGACGTCACGTGACCTCGTGTGATGTCATGTGACGTCACATGTCATGTCTATACAAGTTGAAGGCATAAGATAGTCAAATATTCAGTGTTTCAATAATAATAAGATTATTACACATAGGTAGGCCCTTTTGTACAAAACAACTATTCACCACTAATTAAAATTACAGATTAAAAAAACTGTGAGAATATATAAGAGAAGAAATCAACTTCAGTTTATAAAGTGAAGGAGTTGTATCGGTTATTTTATCTTTTCTGCCATCTTAAATTAACTGATAAAGACCTGTCTATGTGTTCCAATCTTTGGTAAGAGGTACAACTACCTTGTCACAATAACCGATGCCAAAGAATTACATAAGTTAAACAGTGATTAGGAGAAAATATTGTAAGTATCCATTGTAAATTGTCGTGTCGTGTCGTGTGGCACAATGGCGACATGTTAGTCACACGTGTGTTACGTACGGTGGGTGCGAGGCCGATGCCATAAGTCGGAGGCCTAGAACAAACCTTTCTTTTTTTTATCCTTCTTATCCTTTCCATCGACGGTCCTGAAATGAACAGATATGGAAATTAAATAAAAATCTTTTTCTATAAAAACGAGTAGTGTTGTGTGGGTTAATGTCTACTTTTTAACGAATAAACAGTTACAGTAAACTAATTAACAAGTCCACTTTCATATTATAATAAAAGATAAAGTCTGACTAGTTGTCGGGTTCTTTAGTAGCAGTTCGACTAATGGGTTTATGAGGGAGATAAAAAGAGAGAAAAGGATAACAGAAAGGGAGATAAAAAGAGAGAGAGGGAGAGAGTGAGTGAGAGAGAGTGAGTGAGAGAGAGGGGGGAGAGAGTGAGTGAGAGTGTAAGTGAGAGAGAGAGACTGACTCCTTGCTGTTGGCCTCGAGCGAGCGGCGACGCAGGTCGTCGAGGGAGAGTCCGGTCTCGCGCTCCCAGGCGGCGCGCTCGGCGTGCAGCGCGCGCTGGCGCTCCTCCAGCTCGTGCGCCTGCGCCTCCAGCGCGCGCCGCGTCGCCTCGTGCCGCCGCGCCAGCTCCGCCTCTGACTCCTTCAGCTTGGCGCGCTTCTCACGCACCTTCATCTCGAACACCTTCAACAACAATATTATATATGTATATCATGTGTGCGAAAGAGACATACAACGATAAGGTAGCAATTCCGACGTATTCTAGAAAAGATAAGTTATAAAAGTAAGATTTACGATATAGTGATATCAAAGTGATCACTTTACCTGTTCCATTTCGCTTTCCATTGTCTTCATTTTAAGATCGTGCTCTCGTTTTTCCTCTTCCATTTGAGCTAAAGGATTCCTGGAAACAATTGTATTGTTTTAATAAGATTAAGTTAATCCGTTTGATAAGTTACATGCAACGGGAATATGTTCTAACAGATTTAACAAAATTTCAAACGAAAACTTAAAATTTCTAAAATTATTGAATACTAGTTAAATCAATTGAAAGTGAAAAATTTAATAACTTTTCGATAAGTTACAAATTTCGTTTATTACTGTACCAGTATAAAAGTATTCATAAATAATATAAAATTATGTGAAATTTCAAACAATATAACAAAATTCAACCAGTATGCACATACGACTTACAGGACACAATAATAGCATTTTTTTATTTTTTGAGATGGTAGCTATAAATAACATGCCTATAATACATTAATATTAGGGAAATCGCCATCTTCCTTTCCCTAGATTTGTTACTGTATCCCAATTCATTACAACTTTTACAAACTTATTTATTTTATTGAGCTCCGTGAGGTGATGCTTTAATTATATAATTTGTAAAAAAGTAAAAAAAATGTTTCCATTTCTTTGTGAATTTTTGATGACGATTTAAAAATGTTGATGACCACAGTCCCTTAATACAAATACAAATAACAAAGTGAACATGCGTCACGCTACTTGCTCCATAGATATAAATTATTATTGCGTGCTAAATAAAACTGCGTAAATGCAAAAACGTGAATATTGAAACATGCAACATCGCCACGCTAACATTAAAAGCATTTGCATCGGGCAAATAGAAAAAGTCAAAATTGAAAATCGACCAATGCAACGAAAATATTGACATCTCTTAAAAAAATTATTAGTCATGTAACTTCGTTGAATGGGTCGAAATGTTGACCACCCCGTGCTGTCGAATGAAAAGTGTGTTATGAATGTAGTAAAAACACACAAACACACGCATAGAGTTGTGTGCGGGGATGAGACTTACCAAACGGTCATGAAACTGTTCATCAGTCCTTGCGGGCACAAACTGAACACCAACACAACCATTGTTAACGTACAACACGTGGAGTGCGCGAACGCAACGCGCGATAGTGGCATCAAAACTTATACTAACATTTGAATAAAATTATAAAAAAAAATCACATACAAAAAAGAGTTATTAAGATACTAAAATTATAGAATTATATGGATTTTCAACTATATTTCATGTACTACGCTACATGTTATGGTGCATAACTAAGAATTTTAATATATAAGATTATTGGAAAAGTAACGTTGGTATTTTTGTATGGTTAAGGGTACGGATTTCCGATCACACGGTCGAGAGTTCGAATCCCACCATTCGACTATTGTCGTAAACTATATCCTATCACAAGCCTAGACCTTAGTTGGTATGGTACAAGAAATATTCGTAAATTAATAAAAATTTACTAATATTTTTACATAAAAAATTTATTCAAGTCTGTATGTCAGAAACTTATTCCAGCTACTGTAGTTATGGGCATGTGTCAAATAATTATAGCGATTGTGTTATTTATTCAGTTCGCGAGCGTCCGGAACGCGACATATTTCATTTGGCAGCCGGTGCCGTAACATCGCGTGTTTGTATTGCATATGAAAGCGACATAAATTCTACAGGTCGTATGAATAGTCATACAAATATATGCAAATATTCATGGAAACTTATATTTCCATCATCAACAAAAGATGCGTAGAATTTCTAAATAATATAATACACTAGATGACGCCCGCGAGTCCGTCCGCGCGGGAAAAATCTATTTTGGAGCAGTATGGTAACTAACAATGTGACACGTGAATTTAATATCAACGTTTAAAATAGATGTACTTTTATGATTTTTATTTTATCCGTGTCCGATAAGAATTTGATCACAGTGAAATAATTCTTAAAAATATTATTATGTATAGAATATTTTGATGCCACTCTAAGCGCTTGTTATGGTTAATGACACATTATCATAGATGTTTAAAACATAAAAACAAATTTTAAAGTTCCATGATAAAGAAATCGATATGCAGTAAGATGTATCATTTCTGCATGCCCAAGCACATAACATTCGAATAATAAAGAATGTTGATGCAACTATAGACGTGTAACTAAAATAGACAATTAAAAGAAAATCTGGTAGCTCACAACTGCGACAGTTAATAAATAAAAATAATTGACCGCGTCAAAGGTGACCAGACATGCAGCAATGAAATTACTACGCGTGCACAATAACATGTGACCTTCTGAATATCGGGACCGCGTCCCACATACGACATATCATTTGTTTAGCAATACATTAGGCTCAATTAATGTCATTTAACAAAAGTAAATAACCGTATTGTGACGTCATCGATTATTGATTACGTTAATGTGCACACATAGTACATACATTTGAGTTATGAAACAATGTTAAGACACACATTTGTATATAATAATGTTATTAACGTAAGTCTGGCCACCTTAAAAGCGGTGACAGCAGTACATAAGGTAAATCTGATAGTTAACTTACCAACCCTGTCAGTTTAGGTTGTTATACATGCCTTTTAGAATTATTTAATTGAAAATCTATTTATCGGAATGTTAGAATAAATTTATCTAGTCAGTTTACTTTAGCATGTTTTCAAATCTATACAAAATATCTTATTTGTAAAAAGTTTTAATTAGGAATTCGAAAAAAAAAACTTAATTAAATCCTGGAAATTAAAAAAAAAACACGGGTAAATGGATAACCTCCTTCTTTTTGATGTCGGGTAAAAAAAACATACAAAAGATTTTGCACATCATTGTTAATTTAAGTTAAAATCAACACATAAAAATTAAAGGCTCCAAATATGAATAGTAAAAATTTATCACTTTTTTAGTATTAATTTTAAGTGTTAATTCTTCAAAAATATAGTGAAAGCACTTTTAAGTTACATTTTACACATAGATTTGTTTTAATTCATGCTAAAATAAACAAACTATAAGTTCGTAAGGCATAATTTTAGTATTTCTTATTTAACAGTCAAGAACATGACAGACAGAGAGATTCAAACTTTATGGCGGCTCGGAACTTCAAACAAAACGCTTCGCAGAATAGAATTTTATATAACAACGGAATTCAAAGACGTGCGAGCCGGTGTAAAATTTGAACGTTATAATACATGTAGAGATATATCTTACTTGTTGGAGTTGATCCTGTGCGGTTTGCCGTCGTGGGAGAGGCCGGCGAGCTTGCGGCAGCGGTAGTTCTCGTAGTGCACCGAACTGGTCACATCCTTCAAGTCCTGAAGGTGCGTTCTGATCACCATGTTACGCAGCGCTAAGAAATCGCAGTGTTCCAGATTCTCCACTGAAAATATAACATCAGGACATAATTATATCGCCTTTTATTTTCTTACCGTAGGTTTCTGAAACCAAAATCTCTGTATATCGTTGTTTTTGATAAAAACAGACATTACATTATATTTTAAACAGGGATTTTGGTATCAGAAACCCACAATCTTACTAATATTATATATGCGCATGTTCGGATGTTAATTAGAAGGTATCTGTAGAACGGCTGCGTGTATCTCGCTGAAATTTGATATAGATGAAGAACATAGCCTGGAAGAACACATAGGCCACTAATTTTATTTTAGTTTCGCTCAGACGCAGTCGTAGGCGACAGCTAGTTAGTTAATAAATCTTTGTTAACATATCTGTTGTAAAATCCGTCTAGTTATGAAATGTATTTTTGTATAAAACAGCTACAAAGTGCATATTAACAATTGATACAATCATATTCCTTTGTTCATGTCCAAGTCATTTGTGTGTAGAATACAATGACTAGGTTGTGGTATTGCTATTTATTAACGTGCCTATTGTTAACAATACTTGTGATTATAAACAAACTATGTTTGCACAGAAACACAATGGTTGGCATAGTCAATAGATTTTCCCGCACTTAGTTTACGATAGACGAGTTATCAATAAAAATATATTTTATTGAATTCTTAAAATGAGTGAATACTGTCTGTCTGTAAGTCAGTCAAGGGCATATTAACTCCGGGTAATCTCCAGTACGCCTGGACTGATTTTGAGGAGACTTTCACAGGAAAGGTAGCTGAGTTGTTTCACGAGGGCATATTATATTATTACGATTGCGATAGTTATTACCTTCAGCGATGCCCCAAGGGTACTTGCGGCCGCGGATCCGCCTGCCCTCGGTCTCGATGACAGTGTTGGCGCCCACGACGGCGAAAGGCACGCGCGCCCTCAGCGCCCGCGTCGCGTCCGCGCCCTCGCCCTCCTCGCCCGCGCCGCCCCCGCACTCCGGGAACTCGTAGATCTTGATCTTGTGTTGCGCTATCTCCTTCATTATCTGATCGCATTCACAAACAAAAAAGTATTAATTACTTTCCTGCTTTCCCAATTGATTAATAGAGCATTTTTATTCCACATTAAGAGTACCGGTTCTGATTTACCTTTGCCTTTAAAATTCTACCTTATCCTGTATACTAACGTAACGAGATTAGAAATGCAGCTTCTAAAAAACTCACCTGTTCCTTAAAGTCCTTGCACTCTTCTGGTGTCATGGTGTCAGCTTTGGCGATGACGGGTATGATGTTGACTTTATCACCGAGCCGCTGCATGAATTCGACATCGAGCGGCTTGAGGCCGTGGCCGCTGGGCGCTATGAAGTACAGGCAGCAGTGCACGCGCGTGTCCGGCGGCGCCGCCTTACGCGTCACTCGGGACTCAGCGTTCAAAAACTCCTCGTATTTCGATTCCACAAAGTCGATTATTGGTTGCCAACTAGAATTAACAATTTAAACAATTTTTTCTTGTTTCTTAAGATCATACAAAAGTTGTAAGGAAACAAGTACCCCTGCCTCCTTCTACTTTCATAATCTGACTATTCACCAATTTTTACAGTTATATACTAGAAAGAAGTTGTAATAACAAGAAAAGAAGTCTTAAAAGTACGCATTCGAATGTAAAATATTTAACGAAACAAAGAATTATTTTTAGCAAAATGTCATTACACTAGCTAAAACTAGCAGCTAAAGGTTAAATACGTTTTAAATTTTAAACTCGTAGGACAAAGTTAATTAACGTACATAATGTTTAGACACGCATAACCATGACCTTGATGTAGCGAAAGCAGCTTATTTAACACAATTATAAAGTGGATAAGTGTTACATATTGCTATCATTTTATTTACGCAATACGTACACATTTATGATGCCATGAAAAAAATTGTAGTGTAGGCAAAATATGAATTTAGCATAAAGAATTATGTTTGAGTGTCTATATAGAGCAAATCAATAAAAGAAGCTACGAAGCATTAATGCTTCGTAGGAATAAAAACTAGACAGCTTGAGATTCAAATTGATGGCAACAGAGTTCAAACCTAAAGTGCATTTATTTGCCATTACTGTATTGTGTACACATAAAGCCGTCTGCTTCATTCTTATTTCTAGGTTATAATTGACACGACAATATTATAAATTCCTTTTGTACGATTTTAAGAAATACTTTCTCTTTAAGCCAGCGAATGTGCAGACAGTATATACGAATATTCTAAATGTTCCTGTTAAACTTGTTTCATTAAAACCAGATTGGATGTAATTTCATATACGATGCCTGCTAATATGTAACTGTTACCTATACTTTAAATGCGAACATTTCTAAGAAGTACACATTAATCAAAATATAAAAAAATAGTTTGAACTTCTGTAATATAAGTCGGCAGATTATAAACTGACCAATTGCTATTGTCGACTGCGTCACCGAATCCGGGCGTATCAACGATCGTAAGTGTTAAGTTGACTCCGTTTTCTTTGAGTAAAACGACACTAGTCTCCACTCCTACTGTCTTCTTGACCCGCAACGACGGCCCAGGGTGTTTGTCTCTGTCGTATACCTCCGTCAGGAACAAAGAATTTATTAACGTCGACTTGCCGAGACCCGTCTCACCTGGAAATTTAAACAAATAAAGGTTACTGAAATGGCTAATAATCTTTGTAATACTAAATTCAGAGGTAAAGTTATGGTTTAACCTATACTCTGCAAATAAAAGGATGCCCAAACCTGACCTTATCTAGTGCACTCTGGCAACCGTGACCATCAATCGATCTTACCGAGGTTTAACTGCGTCAAAATGTACTTGTGGCTACTTTATTTTCTGATTACTCTAGTTCTGCTATGGTTCACACTACTATTGATTATAATAAACAGACATAAACTCGAGAATTTCCATTGAAGTCCGAAAACGTCTAAAGCAAACTTTATTTCCAGTAAAGTCATCATCATTACTATGTATTTTTAATACTAATGATATTTGTACTTACCTACAACCATAAGTGTGAACTCGAACCCTTTTTTCACAGCCTTCCTGTACACCTGGTTGGGGAGATTCGCGAAGCCCACGTAGCCATCTAGTTCTTTGGTCTTTGGTTTCTCTATCTTAGGTAATTCGGGTTTTGGAGCAACTGGAGGATGCTCGGGTTTCTAAAATCACAAAGAAGAACTATTGTAATAGACATTTAAAAAAAACAAGTATAAGCTAACTCACACATTTATAGTCTTAAACCATATTTTATCGCGGATTGAATATCCGCAAGAAATGTCAAAATATTTACTTCAATGCCTTAACTAATGATCATTTATGTTATGCTGGTCGCCAATTAAGGCAATTGATGTTTGTTTAAACTGCATTCATACGCATCAGACGATGCGTTTCGTTAAGAAAGGACAATAATGAAAAATAATCATTTACTGTGTCTTACTAACTGTTATCATTGGCTCTCATGTGCTAACAGCATGCTGGGCAGTTAGATAAATGTAACGATGAATTAATATGATATAGATTCAACGATACAGCAATATTTTGCTTATCATAAGATAATGACCACTTAGATTTCTTACGAAAGTCCTAATAATCACCTTAATACAAATACGTACGATTTGGATCCGAATAATGGTGAGATGATTTAGATACTTACAGTCCCTTTTATGCTATACCAAATTTAAAGATCGTAAACAATAAAAATTCTACTATAATTGATAAAAAAATGTTAATATAGACCTTAATATTGTCTGTATTTCTGAGAGATGCCGGCGGTGCTGTAGTAGGTGGCGGAGGGGCGGGCATCTGCGGCGGCGCGGCTTTGCCGACATCCGTGCTGGTGTGCTTGAGGCCATTGGCCTCGTGGTGGTTGTTCTCGAGGGCGTCGGGCAGCGTCGCGGACCGCTTTGCCAGCGCATCCTTGAGCGCGGAGGGTGCGACGGGAGGCGCGGGAGGCGCACCGCTTGGCAGACCGGTGCTGCCGCCCACCGACTCCGACTTGAAGAACAGCTCGCGTTTACTTTGTAACTGCAAACAGTAATTATTTCATTAGTGTGTGTATGTTTTTACTTTTTATAAGCACCTTCGCCTGCAAGTTCTTTTGTTGAGAACACTGTTAACTGAGTTGCAAAGGTTACTATCGTACTTAATTATAGGTTGGGTAATGGTGTACAGTCGCCGAGAGAAGCCGTAAATCGTACAAAGAATCGTGTAGCGGCGAGAGGCAAGATATCGAGTAGTTAATGTAGTAGCTAGGTGGTGGCGCTTGTCCGCAGTTCGCGCCGCGGTCGGTCTAGTCGGCTCCGCGCCGCCGGCTGACTCATCGACACCAAGGCGACCGTGTAATACTATACCTATCTGTGTCAACATTCGAGAGGTTTGATGATTAAGCTACTCATAAAGTACTCACTAAGTACGCATAATTACCGTAAAACATTGACTAATACATTTCAATTTTTTGTAAAAAAAATCTGTTTATAACCGTGTTTTATAGATTTATCGCACGATAACTCAATAACAAATTATGAGCAATTGTAGTAACGTCCGTTAGAGGTATTGCAAATCGAATGTTGCTGTAATTGTGTAGCACGTAAAAGCGAAAGCGCCTTATAATCGCTCTCGCGTATAGCTACTTGATAATAGGAGCAAGAATCGCGAAAGCGGTGATTCACGCGGAACTCATAATTGTACACGTGAATCATATTCGATGTACTTGTGTACAAGAGATGTAACATAAGATTAATTATCGATGTTTGGATATCATTGTGACAAAATGTTAACCCTATAAACGTTCACAAATGTTGGCATTAACAATGTGACTTCGCATAGCATACTTTTACCGTGGGTTTCTGACATAAAATCTCTGTATAAAATATATTTTCATACCTGTCTTTCATTATACACAAAACAGAAATAACGATATGTTTTAAACGGGTGTTTTGGTCTCAGAAACCCAAGGTTATATAATTATTCAGATTAAACCAATTTTGTATTTTCCTTTGACAACAATATAAATTCTATACGATTAACGTAAATTGCTGGACATCCATTTTTATTTTAAAACAGGTTCGCCACGATTAACACAAAATTTCCACGCATTCTACATTAAAATCTTCAGTAATCGATATTAATCGATGTCGTTATCGATCTGTATGCAATATCGATTTCCCACGGCTAGCTCAAACCGTGGGCTCAGGGCCCTGTGTACTCACCGATATAAACATTGCTCACGAGCAGATGGTAATTAAACGGTTTTGAAGTAGACGCATTCACTGGGCGTATTCGAGCGGCTCATTTGTGGATCCAACGGACGTGCATTGACGGCCTGAATAATATTTACACAAGGAATTTCTCTTTGTTCATTCACATGTCAACAAAGTTATAAAAGCTCGAACTGATTAATGTGAAATAAAACCAATTGAACGAATTTGAGCTATTTGTCTGTATATGGACGAATAAGCCATGTTGGCATACTATCAGTCTTGTTATAAGAGTACAGGATGATCTATTTTCCAATACAACTCGTGTAAGCTTGATTCGAAGTATACTGTTTGGTTCACTTATGTATTGGCATGAATGTACCCGATTCGTCAATATAAAAAACATCCTCGTACATCGTTCACATGCAGTCCACGTTTTAGAATGACGCAGTTGCAGAAATAACATAAACTTATGCAGTTTAGATAAGTACGACGACCGTACGAGATCGCGGCGCTCCATTCTAATAATATCTTAGAGTAATCATCCAATACAATGACATCAAGACATTACTGTCTTTGTTGAAGATGTCAATAAAATTGCTTTATAGCATTAGAACAATTATAAAAGCTTTCAACCCTAATTAGGTATTCAAATCTATATCATTAGAAAGTAGAGGTGCCAAGTAGATGTAGTGAAATGCGTTAAAAATTGACGTTATGCGTTAAAAGCCTATATTAGAGCATGTGATCTAAAAAACTAAAGATTCTAGCTTGTCACAACTACTTCTGAAAACACACGCGCGACGTCATTCAATAATTAAAAAAACTTAATAAAACAACGTATTTTATGCATATATCGAGCGCTGGCGATATTTGTAAAATAAAGAAAATATTAAGGCAAATAAAGAATTTATGGATTGAAAAACACATTTTAAAGAATGTTTATTGTTGACAAAACAAAAAAATATCTTTTGGCAAACCGAGTACACGTCCGATTTACTGAATATTAGGGGCGCACCAGTCTATTAATTATTCAGTTATTCAGTATAAGAAATAAATTACTTTGAAAAAACATAACCACATAATAGCAAGAATTTACAAAAATACGAACATATTATTTTTATTAAAATTAAAGACCTGTAATTCTGTTCGCAAGTGTACACCGTCCGATGAGTAACGGTATTGCAAAGAATGACACATTAATGGACAGTTACTCATCGATGCAAACATCAAAAACTCGGTCGAATAAAAATTACCATTTCTTTTTCTATGAGCCAAGTGAAGTAAGCACGAGAGGATTCACTTAAGTGACAGCTGTAGACGCGCAAAAGACGCAGCACGGACTCACGACGCAGCAGGCATGCGCCACACTTCATGTTATAAACAAGTACCCTTCCACAAACACCTTTTTATCATGGAACACCTCGCTTAAAGTATCCAAAAGTAACTTGTAAACTGTAACGGCGAGACTCCTGCATGAAAATTATCATCGCACTGATCACTGCAGTCATTTAGCCCTCCTTCATCCGGTGTTTATCATAGCACGCGCATTGTACCAGCATAAACAAATTCGACACGATTACGATATCGTTAAGGTATTTGTTTGTTTTCATATTATGATAAAAGTTTAATTTGTTTTGTTTACATTTACGTTTATTATTTAATGAAATTCGAGCGGAAAATCCCACATAATTGTTTAATTTCAATAATCATCTTTCATAAATAAAAATCAAAACTTACCATAGTATCTGTATCGACTTTTTTCTTGTCACGTCTTTTAGTACTAAACCTTTTTTTAATGAGTTGTAACATTTTAACACTATTCACGACAAATCATTTAAAACAATTTCAGTAACTCGACAACGAATAACGGAAGACTGCGATCAGTCATTTCGACGTTCAGGAGGAAACTGAGCGAAATCGTCATTGTAACCTTGAGGGTAATTGTTTACTATAATACAGCGGTCATAATTTTATCCAATTTATATATTTTATATTGGTACGGAGTGTGGACAGTAAACGCGCGCCCGACCGCACTCGACATCTGACTAACGCATCTATTCTCTTAGGTAACACACGATAAGCCCTCACCAATGGCACGACGCTTACCTCTTTAATCGCGTTTAACAACACACGACAATTTAAAAGGTTTACTGTTTCTATCTTATCGCAAAACCGCTTCTTATCAGTGGGATTTCATTCACACATACATAAACATAAGTGTTTTCATTTAATTACAACTTCAGTGAGTAATCAACTCCATGGCGTAGAAAAACGACAATATTTTTTTTTTAATGACTCAACACTAAATACCAAACATAGATTAAAATATAGGTGAATCGTTCACGTTCAAGTATCTGATTTAAACTTTTACAACCGAAGCGAGGTAAATCTACTAGTTTACGAATGTTATGGGAGTGACACATAATAAGCCGATATGCAATTGGCTGCAAATATATTGATGAGTAAACTAAAGGATACCTAAATTAACAAATTTGGGTGTCCTTATTTTCGTAAGCGTTACGTAAATTAGTGGCAATAGGTTGCTACAAATCAATACGATTTACAGCAAGTATTTTCAACTAAACAATGAGACAAACAGTGAGTATTTTAATAAAAAATGAAAATTGTAATATCGGGAGCCACTCCTTGATAAAGATCAATAGCGTTTACACGTTCGATTGGATTTGTCAGTATGACCCGAAACGAGTTATTGCGGTGGATGGTCACCGATGTAGAACTCTGTGGAGTTAATGAATCGTTACTCTTCAACGAAATTTTATATAACAACTAATCCTGGACTACTGTCCAATTTTTAATTTTTTTAATGCAAAAGTTTCTTAATAAGTCACGAAACATGGGTAAATAAAAAAATGCGTGCTTATTTATGTCGACCACAATGTTTATGTTTCAAAAGAACTTTACATTGTTCTGACTCCTTTTGTGTGTTGAGGGGTTTGGGCGTATGTGTACCCGGCCTAATTTATGAAGGCTTGCTTGTACGGCGCGCATTGTATGCAAGCGTGACATATTCCTTTTTGCGTTGATGGCACGCGAAGTTGTTATTGTATGCCTGTTTAAAAGTGAATCACAATGTGACAATTAAAAATTGTTTATACGTTCATTTAACAGCCGATTTACTACGTACACTGTTAATAAAGTATGTATGCTTGCACGAATAATTTAATTTATAATAATTTGATCTCGAATGTGTTGTGTGTGTCCCACGTGCACGACACGTTATGGTGAGAACTCGAGATAAGGAATGTAACTTTTTTAAAAACATGTAACCAACCTTTCAGTGCGACACCTTTTTTGTCTATCAATATTATTGCCCATAAAATAGTTTCCTCCGGGATATAATCCTAGTTTATCGTATTGAAAGTGAAGCCAGGCGAAGCGAGCAATATTTATGGGAATTAAAGTAACTTAACTGAAATATTCCAAGCACTTAGTTAATAGGATTGCAATATTTATATATGTTGTTACAAAACGACGCAGTTGTAGTTATGATGACTATAAACAAAGGATGTGAATAATTTTTCCTCGGCCGGCGCATCCTCTATTATAGGTGCATACCGTGATAGGTTATATAACTTTATTACCTTTTCCACTCGGAGTTCCGCTTACATATACTTTAACTTGTTGATTCAATAGTTGGACTATATGCAAAAATAAAGTTTAGGTATGATAAACAAAAATATAGCGTTCTGACTGTATTGCTAGTGATTTGAATCAACGAAGCCTTCAAACAAAATTTTCTAATAACTGTTTTTTGAAATAATAATGTTAACGATAATTTGTCAATTTCAGTAATATTTAATTGGA